CTTGTAATTCCAATGCTTTGTTCTCTACGTCATCTTCTTGGATTTTATTCTCCATCCTTTGTCCCGATCTCTATCTCCTGCTCATTTTCTCTGTTACTTTCCTTTCCCCTTTTCTTCATCTCTGTCTCAAAGGTGGTTTCTTTGACCTTCTCTGCTCCCCTGTTCTCTCCCCTCTCCTCCTCCCGCTCCTCCTCTCCTCCCCGAACATCTGTGTGTGACAGGTGAGAGAACTGTGACAGTCCCCTGACGCTCCTCCCCTCCCATTTCTCCTCCCATTTTTCGTGCCTTTTCCTACGCTTCTGTTCGCTCACAATCACTCTCTCACCTCCCATCCCCCCACTGCCAGCCTCCTCCACCGCCACTTTATTCTGTCAACCTCTTCTCACTTCTCCCCTTTCTCCCTCAGGCTTTCACCTTTCACTGCACCTCTGTTCTTTCTTTTTATATATATATATATCACTCTTCACCCCACTTCTAACCTCTGTCAAGCTGCCCCTCCTCACCTCTCACCGCTCATCTGTTCCTCTTTTTCCAGCCGTATTCCTTCCTCTCCAATCTATGACAGCATCACTTTTTTGGCCGCTTCTTTGTTTTGTTCCCTCACATCCTTTATTCGTGTCCCTTGTTCCTCCTCTGAACTCCACATTGAGCTCTGTAGCCCACAGCTCTCTTTTCTCATTGCTTTTATTCATCCGTCTTTCAAAATGCTTGCCATCACTTTTACGATCTTTGGAACCTTTTCGTCTCTACACTTCTCAATCTATCTGTCTCTTTGTCATTCCGATCTGTTACTTCTAATAAGCCTGTAACCCTAACATGCCTTCTACCCCATCCGTCCTCTTCAACCCCTTTTTCCTCAACCATTACTCTGTCCTTTCATAAACCCCTTAAAGCCATGTTCAGACCGACAGAAGCACTTTTTCAAAAAAGCAGTCTCCTCATGCATGTTGGTGAGATAGCGGGGTCAGGCTCCGTCAAAGAAAGGCAGAGTAATAAAGTGGAACCTGGCTGAACTTTTGATAGAAAACAATGCAACGGCATCCAGCATTGCACGGAGCTGGTCAATCAAATAGTATGTATTTTTTGTATATTACATTGGAACGCGATTGCCGTAATTCTAATGTTCAGAGCTTGTCGAGACGGAAGATGATTGTTGCCCGAATACCTTTCCAGAGTTGTAAAATCTTTTCTCCTGATTTTATGAATTGTTTTGCATCTGAAAAGTCTTCAAACTCGAAGGTGTATGGATGTACTCTAACTAGCGTTGATTGGACTGAATGATGTCACTGTCTCACCTTTTCTCACATCAATAATACATCCATACTGTAACAGTTTGTTTACAAGACAACATGGAAGAAGATCTAGATGCAAACTTAGGCCAGAACGGGAACTATACTGGAAAGAATAGTGGCAAACAGGCTGTCAGGCAGCAGGATCAAACATAGGCAGCATGTAATTAAAAAACTAACAGGACACGGCAGGCACACAATGCAGGCAGGTACAGGTAAAGATGCACATACAGGGAGTAAAGTCTGGAACCTAAACGCATGTATTCACAATCTGGCAGAGAGCCAGTGTTAGAGGGCAGATACGTATACAGAGTGTGGCTCTTCAGGAATGAAAGGCAGGTGTGCAGGACTCAGGTGACTGGGACTGGTGGGAGAATCCGGCGGTGAATGGAAGATTTGGAAAGTTCTCAAGCATTGCAGGCACCCCAGAGGGGAAGTGAAGTGTGAAGTGGCTGAGGTGTAAAACAGGCACACAAAATGTCTGGTCATGATGTCACATACTAATGCAGCCTCTTGCGTGTTTTACCTGCAGTGCAAATTTCAGTGCTTTAAGTTTGGTCACGTTTGCTGTAGCACTGCAGGGTAGACAATATTGGAGATTTAAAATGTGATTTCTATCAACCAGTAGCGACCAATTAAGTGGCCTTGAACATTGTGCAAAATGTTGCCAGCTGCTTTCTTTGTGGTTCTTATCACTAGTTTGTACTCTGTCATGGTTTCCGCCGGGGGATTGCAAACCTGGCATAACTTTTGAGAGTGTCCGATCGAGAGAGAGAGAGCATGTGTGAGAATGAGTATGAAGATAGCAGTAATGTTACAGCAATGAACGTAGCAGTGTAGTGTATGTATCATTTATTTGTAGGTCAATAAATACTACAACTCCCCAAGACCCATGAGGAGACCCAAGATAAGTTTCCGTGTCTTGTTTGTCAGCCGGCTGATGATGAAAGTGAAGGAGGTTAGCCCTGCAGTTAGCAACAACTCTGGCGCACTTGAAGTGGACTGAACTTTAAAGTATAAAGTTCAAGTTCACAGTTCAAGCACTGTGAATGTGAAGAGATTGGATGAAGAACAGCACACCAGGTCAGCCGGCCCTGGATGAATCCATTTTTGATGAAATACAAGACAATTTAGCTTCTTGTATTTGACACCAGAATATGTATGTCGATAGAGCGTTTGAGGATGTATGCAGAAATTATAGCCACACATCTTAGCTTAACGTTCAGAGAAACAGACACTAACATATTTTAGCAGAATTCCCACCTCTACAATGTACCACTATTAATCAGGAATTTTGATTACCGTACATTGCACATATATTCTAACTGTTCCTCTCTCACTTCCTTATATTGTCCTGAGCTCTACCCATAACTTTTTTAATCTTTGCCATCTGTTCTATGTCATTTGAACCCACTTGCAGTCTCATTCTCCACTGATGTTGCCCCCTTTCCAGTGTTGAATGGGTTCAGTTTATCTCTTTCTCCCAAGTTACTCATCCTTTTCCCTCTGCTGCGTTCATCCTCCCCTCTTCACTTTTGGCCTCATCTATCACCTTCTTTACCATAACTACATTGCTCCCTTTTTGCTGTCCTTTTTTCATCCCATCCGCATGCTATCTACCAGAGCCATAAAAGCCTCTCTCATCACTCCCTCTTCTCCACACCTCATCCATCTCTGTTACTCGCCCTCGTTTCCATTTTTCTGCCTTCTCCCTTCGCTTGTCACCACCTCAACACACAGCTTCTCGTCATTCTCTTTGACACCCCATCCTCGATCTTGTTCATAGCGTCACACTGCCTTGGTCATTGTCCACTCAGCCTGCTTTCTTAATCTTTATTTTCTGTTTACTGTCTGTTTATGATCACTATCACCTCGCCTCTCCCAAACTCAATGCCTTACCCTCCATCCCCTCCGACTCTCCCCCTTCTGATAGTGTTTTATCCCCCCAAGGGAATGGCTTTGCTGCAACGTGTTTTTTGAGGTATTGACGTTTCCACTGATACGGGCCTGGTTATCTGTCAAGGCCGGGGCTGGAGTGTAATGGCTCTGTAATTGGATAAGATATAGGATTTTTGCCAGGGGGGGATACATCGCAAACTGCCTCGCTCTCCATTTTATCATATGACTATCATCGTTCATGCCTCCTCCACTATACTTGGTGCTCCCCCCACTCCTTTGTACTTTCTTGGTCTTACTATCTCTCTTTTCTAACTTTGTCCATATGGTTATGTTTTTTTCTCTCTCATCGTCATTTTAAAATCAGTCATTCTCCTTCACTTGTGCTTTCAGCCTGTCACTTTCTTATCTGTATTTGTGTCCTTTTCGAAAATTCCATCACAGAGAACCAAAGAAGACGGCCGTGACATGGCCAAGTCGCAGTCCAGCCACCACCCACTCTTCCCGATAATCATTTCACAGTTGCATTCTGTCACAAGCTCGGCTGATACATTTTTAGTGCTTTGCGTGTGTGTGTGTGTAGGTGCGAGTGTGCGTGAGTATGTGCACTCGTCTCTCGTTTTATGTACTCTAATGCACTCGGCATGCATTTTTCTTGTATTTCTCACACTGGTTTGACTGCTCTCACAGTAGCCCACATACCACGTTGGCATCATGCCTCTGTTGCTTTACTCTTACTTTCTAATGGCAGACGACATCAGGTTAGTGGAATCTGTCCAGCATTTTACTTTCTTTTCTGTCTAGCTGTTTTCTTGCTCTTTTTGTTTCCGCAACATTTAATATAAGGGTCATTTAACCTGTGAGGTTCAGGGGAGTTTGGCCCCTGCCTCAGGTAGACACCTGGGGGTGTGATAGGGGGCAACTTTTGGAGGACTCTCTGTCTGGCAATGAGGGCAGAGCCATGAGGTTTGAGGCTTGCACAAGGACGCAGAGAGGATTACGGTACAAACACAGTCATCTATTCCAACAGTCAAAACTGTAGCCATTTGTAGCCATGGTAAAATAATAATAAAACACTCTCCTTTAATGCTTAGTCATTTTCTAAACTATGTGCAAAAAGGTAAAGAGGAGGTTATCTAATTTCACTCAACATTTAAAGTATTTCCACCTACTTTTAGTTTTTAGTTAAATACCACTTAATTCTGCTCAGCACTCAAGGATGCACATATTGAACCAAAGCTTAACAAATGGAGATAACTATATATATATATATAATGTTTTTTTTTTATATCTTCCCCGTTCCAGTTTTACCCTGTGTAAGTTCTTTATGCTTAACAGATATCAGTAACAGATCAAATACGTAATCATCAGCAATCTGCTCATATTCAAATCGTGGATTTCATTCTTAGCCAGTTGAGGTGTCTGCTGTGACAGCGACAGGTAAATAACTAGAAGATACTGAAGAAGAGCTTGTCCACTATTCCAGTTTCAGGCTTGAAACAAATGTCTGGGGTTGCTCTCTGCTGGACCCCATTAATAATAGGAAAGACTAGAACTGTAACTCCACATTCTCTTTGTAAAATGTCATTTTGGCGGAACCATGCTGCTCCTCTGCCAGTCTTGGACTCCAGAGCTTGTTTTCCTTGCTAATAAGATATATTGAAGTAAAAAAACAGTTCCCACTCTCTGCTACTTTTTATTTAATCATACCAGGGCCAAGCCATTTTACTTCACAGACTGACAGATACTGTTATAAGTATATCAGATATCTGTAGACAAACTGACTTCCCACCCATTGTGTCACTAACTCTGCAGGTGCTGGTGGTTGGTCTCCTCTGGACAGTGACCATTACCAGTGGCTACAGGTGGACCTTGGTTCCAGGAAGCAAGTGAGCGCCATAGCGACACAGGGTCGCTACAGCAGCTCTGATTGGACAACGCGGTACCGTCTCCTCTACAGCGACACAGGAAGGAACTGGAAACCATATCACCAAGACGGCAACATTTGGGTGAGTGAAAAAGAAGTGTTGGTGCCTGCATGCGTAGATGCGTAGGTGTGTAGGTGCGCACAATGGCCAGAGGTTATCAGATAACAGTAGGACCATCAAAGGCAGAGCTCTATGGGTTTACATTGTTGGGTAATACTTGTATATAACCATATCCAAAGGTATTATTTAAGTTAATTTAACTACATTGTTATTTCCACTACTATTATTTTGTTATTGTTACAATATGTATCACTCAAGATGCATATGGTAAAATAACTAATCAAAAGGGAAATACTTTTTTATGATAGAAGAGGATATTAAATGACACTCCGCAAAATGGAAATAGTGTATTAGAATGTGAAGGCTTCCTTTTCACCCCTGCGTAACCCAGAGAAGAAACCTTTTTGTCAATAGATTAGCTCTGTTTTTACCAAACGTAATATCAACCACAGCCGTTATTCAAGCACGGAGAGAACAACATTTGGAAATGAGCCATTAGGAGTTTATTCCTTGACATTGATGTGATCTCTGTGGCTTTATTGTGTACCATATGTCTCTTATTCCAAATCAACAGACCTCTGTCACAGCACTTAGCAAGCACTCGATTTAGGCATCATTGATCATTAGCTGATGGGTTAAAAGCCCACACTGTTCGCTGTTGGTGAAGAGCTACAGGTGATAACAGATGGGCTTTCAGCAAGAGGAGAGAGGAAGAGAAGAATAGCCCTGTCATGAATAATGTTGATACACCAAGCTAGTCAGCATTAATTTAAAATCTGGAAGTAAAGGGGAGGGGCTGTTTGCTTTTTAATCTCCACCGGTGGAGACAGGATGTGTATTTTTTTTCCCCCAGTCCATCTGATTCTTATCCGCTAGAAGACCGTAAGGTATTCACTTTGCTTTAAGGACGACACACATTAATTAACATCAAAATGATGTAAATGCATCAGATTTATCAAAAAGGTATTAATCAAAAGGAGATCTAGTAAAATAAAAAAAACATAAAACTGTAAGCATCTACGTTAGTGTGACGGGGCCTTAGGGGGAAATGGGAGGGAACCAACAATGCCAGCTGGAGAATTACACTCCAGGAAATATAAGCTTAAGATATTGTTTTGAGAATTGAAAAGGCACACAGATTGTGTTACTGATATGAGACAGATGTGTTTCGTAGAATGAAGCAAAGGTTTTATTTAAGGAATCAAAAATAATCAAATTTGTAGGGACTGGAGCTGCGGGAGAAGAAAAATATTAATGGACGAAAGAAAATTACTGGTACCCAATAAGGGATTGAAAAAAATGATTTATTACATGTTAAGCTAAAAAGTCTGTGCTAAAAACTCTAAAACTATCACAAATGTTAATATTCTAAAATGTCCTATCCAACATAAACCGAGCAAAATGGAGGTTGGAGAGGCAGACTATACTGAGGAGTGCCCAGGGGTGCTACGGTAACCCACCTCAGGCACAATACAGCCATCCTCACAACAGAAATGGTGCAGTCTACACTCGTAGACCAGTGTTTGTACATAAGGGGTAGGGACCTCACCATGGGTGCCTAGCCTCCCAACAATGGCACCTCTACTTCACCTAACGAAAAAGGGAACTAGTACCAAAAAGAATCAACACAAATAAGCAAACTAACCCAAATGGTTTAACAGTGTAAATTAAACAAAACGTCAAAGCAAAACAGACGCAAGCAGCAGGTGAACCTACACTTGAAAAACGAAGATTAACAGGGCTCACCATGCTGCAATTTAATGTTGTGACTACTAACCACCTCATATATGGGGTATTAACATATGCATCACTAATCGAAGGCAGGACAACAATGGGGTTTCCAAAACAATTTCCAGCCAAAATGTCAGTCCAGAGGTAAAATAGGCGGCTGTATTTCACAAAGGTTGGCATGCTAACTAATCACATAAAAGAGATAACTGTAACACAAAATATCACGAGCCACCACAGAGACAGAGGACAGGGGCCAAAAAAGAATGAGGCCATGCCAATAGGTGCATTTTATAAGCGGGACCTGATTATGGAATTGTTGGGGGGAGAACCAGCCTGAGGGCTGCGTTCACAACACATTCACTACTGGGGGTGCATTCCCCACCACATTAGGAGGAAAAAGCTTTGAAAACACATGGAATAAACAGAAGCTGACCCTGTTGACCGCTGTTTCTGAAAGTTCACTACACATCGGATGCTTATTAAGTAGTGAATCCGATAAGGGAAATTGAATTTTCCAAAATGCCTAAAAGAATTGGAAACAAAAGCCAAGCAGTTACACATATTCAGAAGAAGCATGTTTACTTATTAAATAGAATTGGAGCCCAATGCGTACCCTCTCGGCTGCCACACTGACACACCATATGGTCTGATCACGACATGAACATCCTACAGCCGAATGTTTTAACACAAGCAAATCATTGATGCAGCTTGTTAATTGTTAATGACACATAATAAAGTGTTTCCTGACAGACTTAATTCTGAGCAGAGTATCTTTTAACTGACTCTTTTCCTGAAACGCTGCTATGCAATTCAAGCTTTTCTACCTCTCCTGACAAGGCAGGAAAACACTGGTCAACTAATGTGTTGACAGTGAGCATGTCCTCTCATCCTAAGGTATACAGCCTCAATAAAGATTCATGTGCACCATCACACTTTCCGGATGAAAAGATCCGAAACATGAAGAATCTTGTTTACCAGCCACCGAGTTAAAATCTCTAGTGGGTGAGTTTTTTTTTTTTTTCATGTCTGCATTTTTTTCCTGTGGATATTAAGCTGCATTCAGCCCCAAATAGCTTCATCATTATTCTCTCTTTTAGTACTGTTAGGACTGGATGCGGTGACAAATATGGATCATTTACAGTTGAAAGTAAATTAAGCTGTTGTTTTTGTGTGCAGCATCATAATTGGTTGCCGATTATTTATTCAGAAGTGTTTTCCTTCTGCCATTAACCCTGATTCATTGCCTCTAATATTTCTGCAAATACTCCAAAACACATTAATCCTGGATGTATTTGTAACTAAAGACGACGTTTTTTTCTGTTTTGCCTCAATGTTTGACATATATATTGCTTTTTTATTTATTGCCAGTGTAGTTCAAAATATTGCTTGTGTAAACAAATACAGAGCCAATAATTTTAAACTGGGCATATACCATCAATAACCCCCAGTGCAGTAACAAGCAAATCTGGAGCCATTTGTTTCTCTCCGTCTCTTGTCTTATTTAGAAGAGGCTTTGGGTTTGCAGCAATCTACATGAGTACACACTCACACACACACACACACACACACACACACACGCTTAAAACTAAAGATTACACCTTTTTTTATGTAAATGTGTCTGTTTGTGTGAAACTGGCGATCATTTTGGAGCCATCAGCCCTATTGATCACAGGGACGAGTTGGGATGATAGGGCGCTTAAGCCAACTTAATGTTCCAGACACACACACACACACACACATACACGTACACACTGCTACCATCAGGCCGTGTTTCAAGCCATTCAATCACATTCGGCTCAATCCCATTCACCGCTGGATGAGGTTCACACAGCGATCCCCAGAGAGAAAACCACCTGTCCTGCAGTCTTATGCATGAAGGTTCTATTCGGGCACATTTTGCCACCAATCACTGCCTGCCGTTACTCCACACTGATGACTTAACTCTTTCACTGCCAAACTGAAGGGGCAAATTTCAGTCAATGCAACAGTGTTGATAGCTGAATTGCTGTGACTGTGAGTCACTGGGGAGGAGGGTTGGTAAAGGCCTGGCATCTGCAGTGTTGGTTTTGTGAAATATAATGTTTTAATGTCTCTCTAACGCACTACTGAGGAGTCACAATGACATTGATAAATCACTGCGATAATTAAAACTGGTCGAACAGAGGACACCGCTAAGAGACTGTCAATGCTTGCAAACTTGAATTAATCAGTTACACAACAATCATACTTGGGGGAGCAATCGTTGGCTGTAATGAAAGATGCATACAATAAATGCAGAGTCAAGGTTTGAACAAGTTTGCTGTCGTGTAATGTGGTCCGCAGTATGTTGTTTGTATCTTGTGTTTTACCAGGACGCACATACACACTAGAACAGTAGTGACGTGATGCAGAGTCCTGCCTGCTACAGAGTTTGGTGATAGTATCCAGCAGTAATGTGCCTAAAAAGAAGAGGCTGAGAAGCAAATGCAAAAAAATCAGGGTTTTGATCTCTCAGAAAGAGGATGTACAAAATGCATTTAATATGTTAGTTAGACCTTAATGACACATACAATATGGTTTATACGTTGGCAATGGATGGCAATATATACAATTTTAAAAAGATCAATTGATTTACTTACTTATCCTCTAAAAATCTTCACTCATAAAATAGTTGGAAAAAGTACAGGACATGCATTTTAGAAGTTTGCACTTCTCAGTGACGGGTTACAATTTGTCTGGTGTATGTCTTGGAAACCTTTTAAGTGATCATCTTGTCTTTTGTCAGTTTAAGTGTCAGACTTTGATCCACAATTACAGCTTCATGATTTAATGTGTCTCCGTGGAACATAAAAAGCTAAATGTGGTGTGTAGTGAATTATGTGGAAGCACAGGACAAAAAAAACATGCTCTGTCTGACTGCACATTAAAACGCAATTAACTTAACAAACTAACAAACATTTGAAGTCACATTTTCCTCCCACACACTTGTTTACCATAACTCTTGTTCAGATAATGCCAGCAGGCCCTGTCAGAATGTTTATTAATGTGGATGAGAAGCTTGTAGCTGCCAGCACCCCAGGTCAGTTGACAGTAATGTATGTATCCAATAAACTAGCACAGTTCGTACCGCAAATCTTAAGCTGATACAGGATCAAACAGGGACACGTTAATCATGGTTTCTCACTGGACCAATGACAAATGCTATATGTGATTTTTGGTTTTAGTACTATACTTAACCATTATGCGATCTATTCCATAATGCATTACATTAACGTCTCTTTTTAGACGCTACAATTGCGTGTGACAGCACA